TGGCATTTCTTTTTCCACAGTCGGCGGCTAGGGAATTGTTGGTATCTTCATCTACTTTGGCAATTGAAGATAGCTATATCAGTAAGGAATGTGGTTAGAGATGACACAAACAATCATTGACTTGTGCGTGAAGATTCCTTCAGCTCAGCTCATTAGTAAACTGACGAGTACTAGCTAGGTTTCCCACGGTGAAAACTGTCAATCGATTTTCGCGCAGAGATAAGATGACCGAAAAGTTTCCAAGACCCTGGCAGAAAAAAGGCAACGAACTTTGTCCAATTGGAACGTGTGGCAACAGTGGAGGCCTCAAAGTAAGCCTGGGCTCCTCACCCAAGCATCGATCCATTATCGTGGCTCTGCTGCTCCCGGCTGCATTCTAACCGGGAAAGCCGCTTTGGGATACGTACCTCGCATGAGACAATTTTTATGTCCCGATAAAGGGATAGCTGGTCATATACACCACACAATCTACATTACCTATAGCCGAAGTCTCTTAATATTCTTCTCATGATCTCGATTAACAACTGGCTACCCCCCTCATTTACTAAGCTGCTGCAGACTCATAGTTATCACGATTATAAGTGAGTACATATTCAAACCTAATATATTACATTATGAAGTGAGTATTGAGAAAGAGAGAGAGCACACGTATTTTTTTAATTATTGATCATTCTACATGTAGTCATTCGATAGTAATGGCAACATTTCTGAACTAGAATTTGGGTAAAGAGGAAGCCGAAATCCCAGTAATTGATCAATATCTAACCCTAACCCCGATCAATATGCTGCACACACGCACTTCTTTTTTCTTGTGGTTCATGCAAAGGCGGCAAGCTACATGTAGTTCTTGATGGAATAGTACAAAAAACTACGATACTGATATATGCTTTGATCAGGGTATATTTACGGAGGCTAGATACAGTTGAGTAAAGTAGGGGAAATAAAGCCAACGTCTCGTTGGCACTAGTAAAGTAACCCGCAAACTGTGTAACACATATTCTAACTCACTTTTCTTTCTTATATAATTATCCAAGAGTAGCCTTCTAGATCTCTTCCTTGTCCTTTTCTCAGTTCTCCTTACTACGGGGGGTCAGCTACGGGGACGCCATGTTTCTATGCACGAACACGACTGATTCACGATGGTCTCAGTAACTAGTTAGTCCCTTATTCTTTCCGTGGATCAACAAGGGATTAACCATATATGACCATATGACGTTAGTCCTAAACATCAATTCGAATTGGCTTTACGGTTAGCGGCAAATCTGAGACAGACATCCAAATCTCTATTGAAGACATGAACGGACACTTGTTGAGCCTATATCACTTTTTCTGGCCTAGATAAGGGTCATCCTTGGGAGGTCTGCTGTAGAGAGGTAGAATCACACCCGATCACTCGGCACCAGCCTTACCGTCCCTTGGCTCTCAGAATGCGGTGATACTATTAGCAGTTATCTAAAGATGATAGATACAGCAAAATCCAAAATATCTGCATAGAATCTCAGTGGGGGGGGTCGCAGAATCGGCCGCAAGGGTGTACATCGTTCGTACCAGGTGAGGTTCTTTGCCGCGGCGGCCGGAATTCGTTACAACTGCAGCCGCCACTGCGTCATATTATTTTCTAACTCGGTCCTACGGTTTTTCTCATGTTGAAGCTCTAGCTAATTTAGAAAAAATCTAGTACTAGAAAGCAACGAGAGATATCATGGCGGTCCCATGGCCCGAAATTAAAATAAAAAGGCTTAAAGGGGATCATTCATACGGTTGGCAACCACTCTTATGTAAGCGTTTATATTATAATGCGTGACCACACCATTCAAGAAACAAAGCACTCTTATAGATGTTAAGTTCTACTCTAACGTCCATTCAGATTTCTTCGCTGTCGATTTTGAATTTCTGGGTCGCCTGCGGCGGGAGTGCCCGCAGATGTAATTGCGGAAGCGCAGGTACCGCAGTGGCTATGATATACACAGAGACACACCGCCGGTACTTTTTCATCTACCAACACATTGGTAGCTTCCGGTGCAAGAGCGGGAATGCACATTTGCGGGTTCTCCGGGACCAACCGAGCGATATACCAGGATACCAAGATTCATCGTTTTGCCGATAATCTGCATTACAATGCAAGTGCGGGAAGGCGAAGACAGCACATCATGGGGTGGAATATATGATGTGCTGCACATATATGTGAGGATATGACGCCACGCGTGCATTGAGAGGGCCAATTTGTTAGGAGCCGACAACTACCACAAGCACCACTACCGTTGAATATACAGACATTTGAGAATCTCCAAATATATATCACTACTACCAAAGAGGCATATATCACAATGGCGAGAGGGCTTTGTGGGTCAATTAACCCGAGAATATATGATGATTAGAGGAGTACATATCCATTATAAAATCAACAAGGTACGTGTCAGGGGAGCTCATATTACGAGGAGCTAGAAAGAAAAGAAAAAAAATTGTTTACATTTGCTAGTCTGAATTCTGATCAGGGGCAAAATGGCTTCACCTATGTTACAGTATGTACCTAAATGTGGCAACTTTGAGGGTCCTGGTTCGGTTGATGACCCGAGGCTGTTCCATCTGCAGTCCGTATTCAAATTCTTGAACAACCGAGAATCTACCCGATCTTTTGTGTGGGGCAGAAGCCGATAGGTTGGTCCTAGGCATCGCATATAACACCTCCGGGTTTTGAAAACCAAAGTCCTAGCTAGTACCAAAAGGTACATGTTTATACGGGCAAGCCTTTTATCAACTAAGTATCTTAAATGCTTTTTACAAATCTTGGAATTGGATATTATAATATTTCTAGATATACTACATATAGATGTATCTAGCTAAGTTCAAATATCCTCCACGTATCCCCCAAGTTTCGAATTCCGAATATCAGCCTTCAGACGTTTCGGAATATGTACGGTACGGTACTTACTAACCGTTTGTAATTTGGTAGCTAAAGAAATAAAAGCCCCCTTCAAACTAATAATGAGTTCCTGGAGCCACACGTATACCCGCATGATATTATGACTTCTAGAAGATATCCTAAAGCAAGTGGTATCTTCAGGTTCGAGATAGTTTTGGAGTTGAACAGGTAGATGTGCTAGCAACCAACAGAATTCGAGGCTTAACCGTTAATGCACCTGCGCCACTGAAACCCTGCAACAACAGCTGGACGAATAGCAGGGGTGATAGATTCGAAAATCAGGAAACCAACGGGGAACTAAAGCCCGGGGACAAATAAGAAGACAGTTGCCAAGCTGGCGGTGAAGGAAGGCCCGGACCTTGTCTAAAGGTGGAAGTCGATCTTAAATCGGCTCAAAATACCCGTCACGTCAAAATGACCATGTGAAGCTAAAATAAACGCTAATTAATGGATATATCCCTATACGTATACTGATAGTATACTTGCTAGAAATTGTTAGTTTATGTATGCTGTGAACTGCAGTTTCCTGTTCACTTCTTTAGCAAAATTAAAACTCTTCAAGTGAGGATCTTGAAGCTTTCAGGTTAATGGGATATTGGTGTCCACAACGGCCAATAGTTGAAGATAACATACCACTTATATTCAATGCTAATCTCAATCTCTCTAGCATTTGCAGAATATGCCTTCTGAAGGAATCAATACGGCAGGCTGTTGTCTTCACGTGAAGATGGCATCGAATGAGCAGTTGCCTACCCTTCGATCCCATCTTACGTGACAGACAAATGCCCCCGAGTCCAAGTCGTAAGAAATGGAGCGTTCCAGCTAGAGAGAGTTATCAGAGACTATCACCAACGCCCATGCTGTTGAGGAATGATGAGGATAATGAAGAGAGAGAAAGAGGAACAGGGGAGTTTTTATATTAGAAATTCCTCAGGTATTTCTGTTTGTTTTTATTCTATTGGTTTATCTTGCTGTACATACATCGCAGTAACGAGAGGGAGGTAAGCGCTGGAAAAAGTGACAGGATTACCTGCGGTACACCCAGAGTCTCGGGTACGGCAGATCTGCAAGTTCTTTGCCCCCGTTCCTTGCTCCATCCAATTTTTTTTCATTCAATTCTTATCCATATATTTCTCTACGTTCCATTCGATATTTGTGCAGGTCCACAAACCAAGAAGGGTGATGGAAGAATGTGCGTTGTCAGGGAGTAAAGCGCACGAGAAAAGTGATAAGTGAGAAAAAGTGTCTAGTAGAAACGGCATAGTGGGAATTAGGGCCTGGCATGGAGGGGGTTGAGTTTTTTTTTTTTCTTCTTCCCATTCCTTCCTTTCCCACTCACTCTACATTCTACAGTAGGATACAGGGCCGAGTGAGGGCAGAAGAACGAACATCAGTGACATGACAGGTGACAAGTTCTAGTGACAAGTGACGAGTGACAGGCAGAATAGTGTCAGGTCAGGGCAGAGAAGCAGGCAGAATCAATTCTTTGAGTTTAGTAGAGTGTTTCAAGTAACGGTCACCTAACCATTTCCAGTAAGGAACTTAGCAATAGGAACAAGGCAGCCAGGGACTCAAGTCAGTCTTGGGGTTGGATTGCCTGGGACTTTGTTGGTTGTGGTGGTTGTGGTGGTGGTTGTCTGGTTACGGGTTTGGGTTCTGGCCTGTCAAGTCGACTAGTAGTTTATTGGTCGACTTGCGTCGGCTGGAGCCGCGGCCGTAGCTTCGGTTGGCGGGCGCGGAAGTCAATCGGCGGATCGGAAGCAGGAGCATGTATGGAAGGCATGCTGAGACAGCACACTTTCGCAGAGCCGCACACACATGTAAAAAAAAGCTGGGTGTTTTCCCAAGTTGGTTGTAGGTATTCGGGACAGGGTTAGGGGTAAAATTTCTTAATTGAACCCTCCCCACAACCAACCATCCATGTAGCTGCGACTGCTGAACCACAATCACCATTCACCACCCCCCATCCCATCGATCAAGCCATCCATCTATCCGCCTCACTTTCCCCTGGTTCTCATCAATATCTATAGATCGGCGAGCACGTCATTCACCATCCACCACCCACCACAACCACATGATGCAGCTCTTCCGCTCACCTGCCCCATGCTCTCCTTCTCGACGGCTTTTTCGTTGCCTACAAACTTTACCTTTACGATCTTGCTCATCCACTCCTTCTTCCTCCCCCCACTCCTACTCCTCATACTCTTACTCCTCCAATTTCCCTAAATTATACACAATCTCACAATCTCGCTCATATACCAACTCTCCTAACTCTTTAGCTGGAAATAATCCCGCAGAAGGCGGAACTGGTAAAAATGGCAGTAACAACACCAGGAGGCCAATTGGTAGACTTGATATCACCGATGAAACCACGTACACGCCACAGGAACCAGCTGAAAATAGCGGCATAACCACAAGCAAGGACCGCCGCGAGAATGCCCAGCGCATGAATTCAAACAAGACGACAAAACACGGACCTTCTAGTATGAGTTTGCTTTTTCTCTCCCACCTTCTCCCTACAATTGTTTTCCCAAACTCCCGGAAATCAAAATGGCAGCTCATTTGTTGTTTCTGTTATAACTGAAGTTGTTCAAATCTACTCTCTTTATTTGCAATTGATATAGCACATGAATACTTAGCCAGCATATTCACGTTCAACTGCCGTTTTTATTTTGATTGCGGCTAATATTTTCTTTTTCTTATCAGCGTTCGGAAGAATCGTGATATTAAGCGGAGTCGGTAGTACACTACTCGAGAGCGATATTCGGCGAATGGCGCCTACGAAAGCGCACATTCCCGAATTCCAAGGCCCATCAGAAGGCTTCAGCGGTAAACTCATCTAATTTCCCACACGTACTCTGGCATTTTCTTACATGAAACAGTGGTACCCTATCGATTCCCGAAAAGTCTCGCACGTAAACCTTTTTACAACCTATTATTTGAGTCTCCCGAAGCTGCGAGAGATTTTGTTTACGCTCAGGGCGACTTCTGGTTATTTGGGCCAAAGTCTACAATACCTCCAGGACAGACACCTACTATAACTTTACCCTCCCTAAACACCAAGAAGATATTCGACGACTACCGGCTCCTTTCTAGTGTTCTTTCTCGTGGGAGGGTTGGTCAGGACCGGTTGGGATGTGTACTTCTTACACTCTCCGACATTGGCGGGAATACTCGTGAAAGGGGAAAACTTCCCAGAACTGCGGAAATGAGGGAATTGCTCGAAAACGACAACGTAAAATTCTGCAGGGGAGACGAAACACAGGGTGACGCAGGTTTAGAAAGAGTACTCTTTGAGAGAGTTTTGCCGGATGGGACGGTGGTCGTCGACAGATTTGACGGATCAGAAAATGGGGCGGAAGCAAAGTGGATAGTTAGGTGTAGAGACGCGGCGGAAGCGCATAGGGTTGTGAGGAACTGGCACAAGAAAGAGTTCCGGGAAGGTGGTGGGAAATTTCACGCGGAAATGATCTATTAGCGTCTTCTTTCAGATGAGATTCAACAAAAGAAGGATGTTGTTACCATATCTTTCACTGGCCACGCTCAAGAGACAATGGGGTTTAAAGGGTGTTTCCACACTCTTGGCGGTAAAGTTTATCGATTCGCAACAGACCATCCATCACCATCTATCTTATCTTGACCATAGAAGCTTACGACAATCCTGCCTCTATTCCTATTGGTCGATTACCGATCAAAGCGATGCTAAATCGCCATAGCTACAAGGCTGAATGGGCAATGAGGAAACCGATTAAGCCGACAGCCTGACTGCCAAGAAGATCTCTTGGGCGTTGTCTTGTGCTGAACAAGAATGGAAATGATGGATCCGGATAAAGTTTTATCGAGATCTTTTCGCCACGATCGATACTTCTGCATTACTTCGTGATTCATCCTATCTTGAAAAAATAAATGGACGGAGGCCACTCCGCAAAGCAACGCATTCTGACTTGTATGCAAGAAAGCCACGCTAAGACGTTGAAATAAATATTGTGTATCAGACCAAAGTCTAAGAAAATTCTAGAGTGGCCTTACGTCAATCAGCCCTGTTGGCGATTTTCCTTGGGGTTTGGTCCAGGCCCCTTGGCAAAATAAAATCCAAATATCTGGGGAAGTTGTATTTAAAACAGGCACCCAGCCTACTTGACTCCTCAATATCGAGTGATCGTACGCCAATGATTTATTTCAAAGTCTTAGCGCGATTCTTTATATGCAACAAACACCTAGTTGTCGTTTCAGGGCAGTGGGCTTTTGAAATTCCGAAATCCCGCTCATATGAACTATTGACCCCAAATATAGCACCACGGGACAAGAAGTTGATATATCAGATTTGAAAACAGGCGGCTCTGCGTGGTCTCTAGTTTATCGAAGGTACAAACAAATTGCAAGTTACATGTGTGAATACATGTGTGCAGTATTCAGAGTCAGGCTCCGAATTCCCGCCTGAGTTCGGAGTTGGTGTAGATTTCAAGCCGTCCTAAGGCTCGGGCTGCTGTCGGGTCTCGAGACATGTTTGATATACCACTTGAAACACGCTGATCTCGCTTCTGATTTATATCAAGGCTACATAAAACGTTCCGGATACTCGGGATCGGGCGTGACCAACTGCCGCGCGATGATGAAGAAGAGAAGCGGGGACTGCCACTGCCTTTGGCTATTCTTGGTATGATGAACTAATCACTGTATCCTTCTCTGCAGCGTCGGTACATCGTGGTTCCACAATCTGTTTTCGAAAATTCCATGCTGCAGGGTTGTCTATCTCGCCCATTCCTATGCATCATATGCTCTACGTAAATTGCATCCCTAATACCTTCACTTTACTGCAGGTGTTTTTTTTTTAGGCATATCAGAGTTGTGCTAATAAAGTAGTCATTTGGTTCTCTGAAACAAATTTTATCCTATCATCTTCTGCAATTTTAGCAGAACTACCGTGGGATCTCTAAATGCGTTTACGATAGGTTTCACCATGCAGCTTGCTTATTCATTCGAATATTCCCAGACTTTTAAACCCCCACCCTGAAGATCTGGTGGGCTTCAATCATTACCACCGTTAACCACTAGTTTGGGCGGCTTGTATGCCTTGCGCCCCACGCGCGCGAGAACAATAGGTATTCCATTAATAATACCATCTTCCTCATTGGAAATGGTACGCCCTGGACTGGCCCCTACAAGCCCTTAAATAAACGAGTCCAATCACGCATTGTATCGATGCATGATATAAGGAAATGCATATGAATGAAGACCAATACATTTGTTTATTTTCATATAACTATCAGTAGTTACTGTGGGGAGGGCTGTTCTCCGAGATTGAAGACCTAACGGACCGCGAGCTATAAGGAGGGAGTGATTGTACCATTGTATGATTAGATTAAGTTTGATCAATATGCCTGTGAACTCCCTGAAACCGTATAAATTCCAATGCAATAACGTAAGCTTTGAATAAAGTCAACTATAAGTAGCCAATAAAAAGCAGCTAGTAACAGCGCCAAGATATGGCCGAGGAGCAAGGCGGAAACCTCGGCGTACCGTCCTCAGCAAATAGATGCCCAGTATTAAGTTAAATTTATGGTTTGAAACTTCCCCAGCGCGTTCGAGTGATGTCTCAGGACGCTGAGTTATGAGAGATGATACGGTGGCATATACAGCTCATTTCCGAAGTCTTGACTTCTTAGATCAGAAGCCTAAGTAAACGTGCGTGAATAGCTCTCCTGCATTATGTGTTTGTGTCATTGCTATACTCGTGCTGCATGCCTAAATTACTACTTAATCATAAAAGATCACTCGATTGCATGCATCATTGGACGAGCATTCCAAAATCGCCTGTGATATGACTTTCGAAAAACATTATTGCAGTTAATATAAATCCTCTGCATCCAGCGAACAAATGTAGGATTCGTGGCATACATCATAATACTATCACAATGGTTCTTACCAGACAGGTCGAACATTTTATGCCCGTCAGTTTTAGTACTCAAAAAGTCTGCTTGGATCCATTTATCTAAATAATTAGAGGATTTTTATCGCTAATGCTTCTGATACGCACTTTAGCTGTTATTTCATCCTATGACCTCGGAATCCGGTTCTTAGGGGATCGGGTCTTGTTCCCGTTAATCACTTATTATTATGGCTCCTTAAACCCGACTAAGCGTCAAAAAAATCGCTCTCTGATATCTCTAGATAGGTAATAACGAGCCGATGGGCATTACTTCTGTAAACGTCTCTGCCCTGTTGACTAAACGCTTGGCAAAGGTTCAACATTTCAATCTCGATTGTGCGCGGGCTGGTTTCATAATCTGTGACTTGTGAGAATTTTTGAAATTCAAAGGCTCATTTGTGTGTCTTGCATGATATCTTGTTGTTTTGACAGCTTTCTTTGGCAGCAACCGCACCTACGGGCCCAATAGCACAGCATAAGATTATCAAATTTGTGAAAAGTGACCGGAGAATCTTGGCCGGACCAGTGCAGCAGCTAGGAAAAGCCCACGCGAGGGGTGATAAAATGATACCACGGAGCCGGGACCCCCATGTCTTTTGATATTATCATTATGCAATCTGCTGTACTCATCGATCGTTGAGTGACGAAGTTCTTGCATTGATTTTGCATTTGTTCGAGTGTTGCACACGCGCGTGTGCAGCGAATGCCAATTGTAATAAGGCAGGTCAACCGTGTTTAGCCCCGTCACTATACGTAAACATATGTAAGTAATCATTCAAATTCGTTCCAGCTAATATCGACCTACATGTACCTACATGTGGTGACAATCAATATGGAAAGCTGGCTAGTAGGATTGAGGCAGGTGATTGCAGGGCTAGGAGCCTTGCCCTCAAAATCTCATACACCCTCCGGTAACCTCTCTCATAATCATAGTACTAGCGGTTTGAAAGTTGGAGGGGTTGCAAGTACACAGATAAAGATCAATCAGATTAATCAATCCTGTATATTTTCTCTGGCCTTAAAAACTTTGTACGAGTGATAATCTATGAGTAAGTGAACAGCAGGTCCCGTCAAGAAACTATCCCAAAGATGAGAAATGAAAGACCTCGAATAGAAAATATTAGTTTGAAATAAGTTTGTGGAGCGCACGGTGGGAGAATAAAGGTTGGCAGCGCTACTAACCAATTGGTCAACTTACCATACCCTCTTTACCGAAGTGCACCAGTCTCGTCCACGAAGCTTCTTAGTTCAGCAATTGGGGTAAATTGAATTACCCGAGAATATCCAATCGTCATATATATTATCTCGTCCCTTTCAGATGGGATTCATGGGGACCTCGAGCACTCCTTGCTTGTAATTCCGGACACTATTCCACCCCCCCTTCATGACAGATGTTGATTGAGATTTGGTGGAGATATCCTGTTCGTATTAATTTCTACTGATGAGCTTGAAATTATTTGAGCTGCCCGTTTTCAGCAGTCAGGAGGAAAGACGATAACCCCATGAGTCATGGATCTAGATCCACACATGATTCTTAGCATGGAATGAATCGTATTACAGCGGTGGCGGCGACGAAGGCGACGATCATTGTATGATTATAAGAGCCAAACCGGTATTTGAAAATGCAAAGCAAATGTACATTAAATATTAGTGATGGCATTGGAAAAGATTTTTGGTTTGTTGACCAGTGTACTTGTCCTGACAGATCCGCGGATTGAAGCTGCTGGGATGGGGTAATATGATTTCTATTGAACAACTAACTGGCCAGGGCGACGCCCGGCCAGGGCAGCTCTGGTCCGGCAATTGACGTCCACGGGGCTAGTCGTATCCGATGTGTCCACATATCGGGATGCACTAGTGATCACAACCATAAGCCGACCCGGCCCGAGACAACTGCAGTAAGCAGCTTGAAATCAAGTTATCTCAAATAAAATAAGATATTTAATATGGCTTCCCTTAGCTCAGTGTATCCTTGAAAACTAAAATCTGAGTTAGAGTACCTGATCTTATGATCATTCAAGCTTATAATTAACAATTACTTGTACCTAAACTACATGTACATGTATTTCCTATAGCTATCGTATCGGGTTTGAAAACTACTAAATGTACATACATGAATAGATCCGATCTATTGTATAACGTTACTTACGTGATAAATTATAACTGCATAAACATTTATATTGACGTATAAGTGCATCGAAGTATTATAAAAGACTATCGGCATTAATATTGAAGATTCCCAGGGTAGCCGCGGCTGCGCATCAAGAATACCGTGCCCTTTTAAAATATACTTGAATTGCATGTATATACACTAGTTCGGAATGAAAAAGACTTAATTAATTTCTGCTTCATAGAGATATCACTCGACACAATTGAAGCACAATTCGCTCGAACCCATTGTGCTAGTATGATAGGACGAAGTATGTATGCTATATGAGTTCTAGAAATGTAACTTTTTATACCGAGGCTACTATGAGATGGTAAGAATTTACCCTCAAATCCCGAGTTTCCAAAAGGCCTCACGAATCAATCTAGATAATTCAGGTTTACGGTAAGCTTTAGTGATATAAGCTGCCTACCATTAGGCCACTAACCTGAAAATTATCTTCATATGGATGAATAATGCCAGGGTATGCTGATGAAGGAGTCAAGCGAATCCGCCATGCAAGATGATTGACCTCAGTTGCCGGGGGGAGTCCCTGCCTAGAATACTATGTGTGCCATTATTATGCCTTGGCGGTATACTATCTGCCATGTGTACTACGCCAAGCCCCACAGGTGGCGTCAAATAATGTTTGTTGAATGCTACTTGCATAAGCTAGAAAATAGTGCCGTTAATAGAGAATGCGTGTGGTTCTGTCATTCAATTTTCGCTTCGACTTGCAAAATTGAATGGGTATGGCGATGCATATGAGTTGCAACGTAAGGGTGGTGATGTAGGCTTATCGTTGGGGCAATCAAATATTTCGGCAGAATAATCATTGACACCCTCAGAATACATCCTTCGCATGGTGTTCTATTCCGGATATATTATGTATGTTAACATGCTTATACGACCAAATCTCACGATATTCAATCGAGCGTTGTAAGTGTCTAGGTTTTGAGGCAACATTTCGGACATACATTGTATTGTCAGGTCCCCCAATATCGCAGATTTCCAAATTCGGCTGACTAAAGTCTTCAAAATCGTATTGCAACCAGATGTCCCCGCGTAAAAATATTATAATATCTCGGTTTGTAAATGCGGTGAGCTTATGGTTTGCATGGTATATGCGATTTCTCACCCTGCCTTGCTATATCGAATCGAATTAACCTCCCAATATCCAAGCGTTAACCACTTGGTTGCAAAACACTTCCTAATCAAACTTGACACCACATCTCTTTCTGTAGAATCTTGAAGGTCAGTGTGAAGATTCGGCGCGCGTATTATATTCTCCCTATGGTACAATTTTAAAAAGATAACTTACCACGAGAGAGGGATATCACCTGCCATATTACCGTATCCTCTGAGAAAGGAGGTGTTATCCTCAGAACCGGGGTAACTGGACCCTAATCACTGAGGAAAGATATCTGCTAGCGGGAAAGAGGTACGGCACACCTGTGTGACAGACCATGTAGTAAGGAGACAGGCCATGTAGTAGGCACACGTACCTGCGTGACAGCAGCATTAGTACTAGTAGGCACACCGTGACAGCAGCACTAGTATGTAGGCATACCTGCGTGACACAGGCGGCAGGAAGAAAACCTCTAAGTCCCGGACCTCTGCCTATAGTAAGCTTCATCATCAATATCATCAACATATCATCACCACTCTCGATGTATCATGTCATATGGAGGCAGGTATGGGCGTGGTATAGGTCACCCATGCCCGCTTTCGCCAGACTCATGTGCATGTTATTCTTTGAACAAATGTATTTCCTAACTATTACAGGCCCATCAATGAAGGAGATGATTTGAACACGCTGTTGCTGGAATTGGATGCTGGTTGATGAATTTAGGGATAATTCGGTGGGGAGGAGAAACCTCATGATGAAGTTCAGTATCATGATCTGACTTTATCCTGCTAGACAGGATATATAATTTCGAATATAAACAGCATTGAGCTAGACCACTTGATCGGGGCCTAAATAACCCCCATATGGTATACAATATCCAGATATGGCTGTAACTTATCTTTTGCGTCCCACTGGCAAAGAGGAAGTCCTGATCCCTGTTTATCCTCCCCACGGGTGATAACCTATCCCGTTTACACCAAAAGCATTGTACCGTAGGGTTCTGTTCACCACAAAGTCACTTCACCGTACGCATGAGATCCTTAGGGACTTACAATTGCTGAGAATTAATTTGAAGTCGGCCATATATATTATACTTTTAGAAAGTCATCATCATAATACATTGTGCAAGAAGCCCAATATATCCAGTGTGTCAGTCCTGAATAAGCCATAATAATTGGTCCATAGATATCTGGTCTATCTCTTGAACAGTGTTTGACCTGAAGTGAGTGATTTGAGTGTCTAGTCCCAGATCATAGAAGTACTAGTCCGGTTACAGGATTAGGTAATAATATGAGAGATAGGTGGTACTTCCTACTAGAGTTCATAATGATGAAATTTGCCTTTTGATTATTCTCATGCCCCAGGGTGAGCTGCTTGCATATATGTGTGTAAGCTTGGTGCGACAGCTGAGTAAGACTGCTTCAAATTACTCATTCGGTGAAAGAAAGAAAAGAAAAGAAAAACTCTGTATTAACCCTGATTTAGTTGCATGTAGTTAATATCAAGTTGCTTTGAGCGTAGCCGAGTGATGGCGGATGATGACGAACCTAATTGATCCATGCTTGGTCATGTACGGCTAAATTTATAATTCTGGCTTATGTGATGAATTTGGATACTTATAAGGCGCTCGGATGTATACTGTAAACATATTGACTACATGTACCTATATGTACTAGCAATTTTACCTGGAATATTCCACGTGGCGTAGTGAAGGATGGGGAAAGCTTCGATTCTACTATCGACCTGTGTACCTTATGTGACTCGAGAGCGATGTTTCAGGTAGGATCGCTAGTAGTAGTATGCACAACAACACATCGCGCACGTACCCATCGTCAGAATGAACTGTCTTTCTCTTGAGTCGAGTCAGAAAAATACGTCTATCTAACCTCTTAACATGGACAGCTGCAGTGGCTGGAGAACAGTCTGCGAAAATCTATGGCATATTGAGACCGATACCAGGTTATGAAGCCACCGGGAGCCTGGAATTTGCTGAGCAGATACTCGATTTGGTAATTTCCTCAAATCTATTACGTTGAATTAATAGTTACAAGTAGAGTACTGATATCAATAATTATACGTCGAGCTTTGATAGAACCACAGGGTATCTGGCTTTCGAAGAAGAATAGCTAGAGAGCTCATATTATTATCGTAATAACAGCCTGGCAAGGTCGTCAAAATATCTTATGGGAATTGGCTGTTCCGTATCCCTCAAGCTTTGCAATTTGTGAGTAGTTTTAAGCCTGTAGGTACATGACAGGTTCCTTCTTAGCTGTCCTTCAAGGATTACTGGGTAATTTTCTTCCGGTGGCAGCTATGTACAGACCCACACCACTCTTGATTCAAAGACTGCAACTGCACATATTTGGAGGTCAGGCATCAAGATTGAGTGAACAGGCTGCCAGTGCAGGGAGCCTTTGGTGGTGGCTTGGCCGCCGAGGCTTTGTTACCCGAAACTGCTGACAAATGACGCGTAATTGACTAAACAGTGGATTGCCCAATCCGGCTAAAAAAATCACAGCACCGGGCCAATCAGAAAAACGGGGCCCCCTTCCCTTCGCTTCCACACCATCTCACTTTTTTTTTTTTTTTTTCTTTGGGGTTGTCGGGTCATTCCTTCTCGTCTTACATTATCCAGCATCGAAGCCGTCTTACTCACAACTTACCACATCATCCTTCCTACTGCCTGCCAGCAACAACAACAGACCGTATGTATGTACCTACCAGTAACCAAGAATGAGGGAATCGTTGGTAACTAAGCAGAGAGAAGATCCACTTATAGAAAAAAGAGCGAAGGCTTAGGGAAGATCAGACTCAGACATAAAGTACAGGCACAGAGCGAAACAAGAGGCGAACCAAACCAAACATCTCAGCCCATCCAGCCTTACCTAGGCTCCCCTAAAATATCTCTTTTCCCTACATCATCCTTCCAACCCAGAATCCCTTCATACTCATCTCACAACGCTTTCTCATCGCTTTATTTTTTTTCTTTCTAGCTAGAAGGAAAAAAAGAGTAAGGCTAATCAGAATTCCAGTTTCAGTCGAAAACAATAGTCAGCAGAAATTATTAGAAACCGTTTCTAGGTGGGTAATTCCCCTCCTCCTAAACTTTTCTAATATGCCCGCATTTATTGCATCATACCTATTCATATTAGCTACATCTCCTTCTCTATATTGCGCTATGGTTACGTAGACTATCTCTTTCCCTTTCCCTTCCTCATCTATTCCCACGACGTCGCTACTTAGTCAAGGCTCTACCATACGTCCATCTACATCTCTTTCTTCTATTCTTCTTCGTTAGATACCACTATTTTTCTCTTAGAAACCTCGCCTATACTCTCTCCTAAACAAAATACCCACTCTTTAAAAAAGTATATCTTATTGCTGATACTCCTGTCGCTATCACTGCTATTTATGTACTTATTACTGGTACCTGTTCAACTACTACTCTTGCTTACACTAAATCTCTACTTAGTCAACAAGACACCTCTAAACGAGCAGCCACCCCGGCCCACCCCCAACCGGAACTTGCCTGGCGAATCAGTCTTGCACCGTTTGACTCGATAGATCCATACGCGGACCCATTCCATCTAGGTACTCAAAAGATCCTGTCTTTCCATCCTATCCCATCTCACCCACACACCTACCTAACCCACCCATCTAGTCATCCATCTGCTTATAATCTATCGATCACCAGATAACGTCGACGTCCGCCTTCTTCGAGTCGCGTATTCCTACAGCAACAAATAAAAATAAAAGGTACAAAATAATCGCAAAGTTTAAAAGTAATTCGCCCTTGGGTTCACGAAAGAAGGGCCGTAGTAGTTGGAAAGTGAATTGAAGACAAGAAGGAAGGCTCACCAAACAGCATCCACTATCACAACAGGAAGGGAAAGTGTAAAGAAATATCACACCGACCGACCAGTTCATTCGTAAATATTACAGAGGAACCAAATCATGCAACCGCAGCCACAGACACTCGCCCCAGCCCCGCATCATTCTAACAATCTCCAGTCTCCTACTGCGCAGGTACAGTTACACCCCCACCCCCCTCTCTCTTCCCTTTTCCTTCCTCCACACCAACCACCGTGTCTACACGTAACCCGCACAACCATCTCGTGGACCCGCTTCGTTATCGTTGCTGACACCCCACCAGGAAGTGACAACCGAGCAGAGTTGGTATCCCTTGAATACAATTGCACCCCCACAATCAAAGAGCTCAAGAAATAGCTCTCCCTGTACAACCTGTCCTGCATCCACGACAAAGTGCTAACCAAGCGATCTGTGGCAGCTTTACGAGCCCATCTCCTTTTGGGAGAAGAGGTCCCGCCCCCGCGGCAACAGTCAGAACAACCTTCGATCCTCACACTTCTTCCAGAATCTAACGCTCCCGGTAGTTCGAGTCCTCACGAGATGGCTTCTCACGACATGAACATTGACCCGGCAATCTCGGGGGTGGGCGCTCCGCAAGCGCAACAACAACAGCAACAGCAGCAGCAACAACAGCAGCAGCAGCAGCAACAGCAGCAAATGATGGTGCAGTCACAGAGTCCACCATTGAATAACAACGCCGGAACCTCTCCTGGTGTATGCAGCGGCGGAGATCAACAGAGCGGCGCAGAAGAAGCGGGCGCGGAAGGCTCCGGACAGAAACGCGGTGGGAAAAGGGAACTTTCAACCTCCAAGCGCGCTGCACAGAATCGCGCTGCACAGGTATGCCGCTACCCATCCCACTATTCACTGTCAAAATAACCTTAATGTGAATAATCCACCTTGAACATTTGACTAACCCGCAATTTTCCCTTCTTTTTTTTGCTTAATCCGCAGCGCGCATTCCGCCAACGTAAAGAGGGTTACATCAAAAAGCTCGAGGAGCAGGTCCGCGAAGCAAACCAAATGCAGGAATCCTACAAGTTGATTCAGTCTGAGAACTACCAGCTTCGCGATTACATTATCAACCTTCAATCGCGCCTTATCGAATCTCAAGGCGAGGAGGCTGTCCCCCGCCACCTATACAGTTGCTTCAAATGTCGCCATCTTTGGCACTTTATTTGAACCATGATGCGCCACCACAGGCAGCAGCGGGTGCACCAACAGCGAATATGGGGGGTGTTGCGGGTGTCCCGGACTTGAACAATATGAACGGGAAGAGGCAACACGATGAAGACCCTAACAATGCGTTCCTGCAGAATGTTGCTGTACAAGTACAGGGCAGTGGCCTTTTCAACCAACAGCAGCAACAACAGCAAGCGGGAAACGCAAGCCCGGTACAGGCGAAGAGGGCGAAAAACATTAATGGTGGGATGGAGGGCGTTGTTCAGGAGGAAGCTCCGAAGCCAACTACTAATGGGAATGCCAACTAAGTTTCTCGAGATAGAGAACCGAGCGAAAAACAAAGCTGAGGACCTGCAGTGCTTCTGCACTTTTTTGCTTGTTCAGAAATGGAGTGTTAAGGGCAGTAGTGTACGAAACGTTTTCCGTATTTTATAGCATTTTTCCTTTCTTTCTTGGTCTTTACACCCTAATTACTCGTCCCTTAACTCGGCTCTCATCTTTTCATAGTCGAGCACAGGCTAGATGAGGTAGTTCCACCATAGGAGCGGGAGACTTCATCCGCGCGTATCAATCGATGAATATATTGATGAAAGAAACGAGTCTTAAGGAACGTTTATGTTTATGGAGGAAAATCATCCTGGGGATCAATATATATACATAGTGAGGACGACCTTTAGTTAGTCTTTCCTTCCTTAGAGGAAACCTGACTTTTTTTTTTTCCTTTTCCTTTTTTTTTTTTTTTTTTCCTATCCATAATTTCTTTTGGGGGGGTTATTCGGCGCTGAGTAAATTGAACAGCTTTTTGTTTTTTTGTTTTTTGTTTTCCTGCTTTCTGGTTTTTGTTTTTTATCTTTTTGTGTTCTGATCTTTCTCTCCAAACTACATCTGTCATTTAACGAACGAACCAACAATTGCGATAGATGGAGACGGTCCGTTACCGTTTTGGAACCTTATCGTCCCATTTGTTTTTTGTTTTTTCTTTCTTTTCCGAGCTATTTATATCTCCTGTCAGTCGTGCAGTCGCTATTTTCCTTTGACAGAAAGAAGGCTTCATCCAGCTCGTAGAGTTCTGCATGTACGTACACATAGATAGAAATATTGCCCTTTCGCCGCCCAGATATGTAGTTACACTCTTGTGGCCCCTCCTCCATTCACCACCACTACTGGCACCCACCCCAAGGCTATCTACTCCTAAACTGAGCGGTGTTTGAGCTGAGTTCAACACACGCACACACACACAGCACACACACACACACACCCCCCCCCCCCCGGAAAAACACGGTTACGTAACAACACCTCGGGAGGAAAGACCCAGTCCCCAGATCTGCTGCCATCTGAATCATTCGATCTCGCCAAGGTGCCTCAGGATCGCGGGGGGTAAGTCCCCTAGGGTGTGAGTGTGTGGGTGCGCGTGGGTACGTGGGTGGCAGTATGGAAATAAATTAAAACGAGAGCGCGGTGATCATAGTTAGGTTTTTTTTGGGAGGTTGGGGGCGCTGGGGGGCTGGGATCGGGGCGAGTGAGGGCTCGTGATGTGGTTGTGGTTTGAATTGTTACATTACTTACATAAGGTGCGGAAGAAGGCGGTCAGTGGGTAAAGTGAGTTAGGATTACATCATGTGTGACTGAGGTATGGCTACTGAGTCATGCAGGGCTAAGGCTAGAGGGATGAGTACATGTAGCACTTGTAGTACATGTAGTGATGATGAGCTGGAATGAGTGATGGCTGGAATGAGGATGATAGTATTAACTATACTCTGCATAGCTACTCTACCTATCTACACTTATATAATTATATCTACACTTATCACTTGTAGGTACTCTATCTACATGCCTAGGCTCAAACTAATTGAGGGATATGCAATAGGATGAGTAAGCATATATAACATTGGGCACTAGAAACACTGTGAACAGATGATACAGCATGCGTTTGATGAAGTATTTCTGGAACAGACAGAAGGCAAGCATTCCTTCTCTCGCTTTCGCTTACGGGCGGGCAAATCATGATCCTCCGCCCCCCCGGAATCCGGGAATCGAGTCTCCGTTGCGCGCGCGCGAGCGCCCGGATAGTAAATGAGTGGACCATAAATTGCATACTGGAGACCCTGAATCCCACCATTTATCACCCCCCATATCCTCCACCTCCCCACTTCCCACTTTTCCATAACCTGCATACCTACCGTAAAGTATCATAATTTAAAAAAGGAAAGAAAAGGTTAGAAAAAAAGAAAAAAACAACTAATAGTACACATTACAAATCCAAACCTCCTGCCCATTGATGATCAATACATGCAACCTCTCTCTACTTTTGGTCTTTTTTTCATTCCCCAAAAGACCATCGGTCCCATTAGATTATGTGAATGGATTGGTGGAATACATCGAGAGCCGGTTCGAAGGTCTTTGGGGGGCGGGGGATTGCTCTACGCAAATGCATTCCCGAGCCGGTGCTCCTACAAAACACAGTCATGATACAGTCAGCAAAAGCACACTTTCAATATGATATTCTTCCGAGGAAAGCGACAGGGATATTAATAACATCAACCACTGTAGTGCAACAGTTTAATCTAGAGCACGTGGAGGAATGATAATGAACTGACCTTGAGATATTCCACACCTTTCTCCAGGTATTCCTCCCTCGTGACGATAGCCTTCTTCCACTCAGCGTCTTTCTCGGTCTTGCTGCACCACTGTGCCGCGCCCCGCCAGGCATCCCCGATCGGGTCCTTGGCTTTTCGCACCCCTAACCCACAATCGTAGGGTAGGACGGCCATTAATTCCTTCTCAAGGCGCTCTTGGAAGCCTTGGAACATGCAGTTACCGCCGGTCAGGAAGATATCCTTTAGCGCCTTGTCTCTGTCTTCGGGATTTGATATCCGGTGCAGTAATATATCGCTCGCAATCTCGATGATACCTGCCTGGTCCACTCCTGCCATTGCGGGCTGGAATACAACCTCCGGAACTCGGATCCTCTCGATATTAAGATGGAACTGATTGGCCTCTGCCTGGTTATCGACGTCGAATGGGCGAGTTCCCCGCAAGAATGCGTGGAGCATGCTCTTGCTCCAGTCGGATTGAGCATCTTGGGTATCATTCTCGTCGAATTCGGGATCGAATTGGAGTAACTGAGCTTCAATGCTCTTGAGAGCGGTATTGAGCTCCTCCTCTTCCTCGTCCTCTTCGTCACCACCAGTACCAATATTGCGGTAAACAGCCCAGTCGTCGTCGTTACGGCCGAAATCGTCGTCCCCACCCTCGCCCGTAGGTGGTGGTACACCACGACGGCGTTTCTTAGAGGCGGGGGTGTCGGATGCGAGGTTGGCGATTGACTTCATCCGCATCTGGGAGGCGAGTGATTTGCGGTCTGACAGCTCTGCCTTGAGACGTTGGCGGTCCTTGACTTTGGCAAGAAGGGCCTCACGGGCTGCTCGGCGCTGGCCAACCCATGCTTCTAAATCTCTTTCTCGGCTTTCTACATCTTTCTGGGCTTCCTCCGCGATCCGGGCCTTCTCGGCCTCCTTCTCGGCTTTAGCACGCTGGCGGGCATCGTGGTTGGACTTCATGAGTTTTTGGTGCCGTTTTTGCTTACGGCCTTCTTCATCGAGGTCTTCATCTGGAACTTCGAGGAGGGGAAATTCTTTCGGGCCTTCCTCCTCTTCCTCGGGACCGATATCTTGTTTCCGGGCGCGGCGGATAGTCAGATCAAGTTCTTTAATCTTCTTGGCAAGGTGGGCTTCTGAGGGGAAGTCATTAGATTCCAGAAGGCGTTTGAAGTCCCGTTTTGTGTCTGTGTTTGCCCGGGCTTGGATGGTTTTGTAGTATTCAAGTTCTTGCTCCTTTTTGATGAGCTAGAGAAAGTTCTGTTAGCAAATGGGGCCGAGTATGATTCTGTGATCAAGAATAAATTACCTTTTCCAACCTCGCCTTTGCAGCTTGTTCTTGTAGTTTCCGCCCACTTTCTTTTCTCCTCTCTGCGATCCTGTCTAGTTCTTCCTGGCTCTTCTCTATCTTGATTGTCTCTACAAATGGGAATTGGATGACCCTGTCTTTCTCCTCCAATACTTCTGGATCTAGATAGGTCCTCACTTCTTCCTTGTAGCCACCGCTGATGTAACAATGCTCCATCATCAAGCTCTCTGCCTGCCATGTCTGGAGCTTCGCCGGAAAAGTTGGGTATTTCAACTGCAGCAGTTTCTGCATATAATCCGCGGACTGGGAACCTCCCCAATTAAGCCTTGTGGCCATAGATACAATACCCTTGCCGTTGAGAACCGGTATGAGATGGGTCGCAGTATTCGACGAGGACACCACCAATCCGTTCTGGCCGCCATTATAGGAGTAGGAGAAGAGGGAATCAATCCCATAGACTAGAGAGGGCGCGTTATAGCACTCAAACACCAGCTCTGTCATCACTATATATCGCACGCACGCGTTAACCACCGTCCCCCACAACAAAGAAGGGGGCAAATCTTACTCCTCCTATTATACCCCGGATTACAAACCGCCTCCGTCATGACCAGCGGATGCCCTATACCGCCTGAAGCGCCACCCTCAATCCCAAGCTTGATGAAGCAGTAATCCAGCAGCGTCTCCATCTGGTCGAAATTGCTCACTACATTCGCATCAAACGGCGTCTTTGCCTGCGCGCGCGAGTTCGGGTCCGCAAACACATCGTACCCGCAGACGGTGTACGTCTTGAGAGCTTTACGGTCGCGGTACCGCGACACGAGGGGCGGGCATAAAATTCGCGGCGAGGGGTCGTGCGAGAAGCCGGCGCGGGTCTGCCATGAGCCTGGGGAGGTCGTTAGCGGAAGTGGGTTTGGGGTTTGGGGCTCGGGGAAGTGGCGGGATGGGGCTGGGGGCGCGTACCGTTGTCTATTACGATTGCGATCTCGCCATTGTGCTTGTGGTTCTGGTCGAAGGCTGCTGTGGAGCTGGCACCGGGGGTGTACGAGGGTGTATCGCGGACTGTGTAGAGCTTCGGGGGAGGCTTGGGGGATGGGAGACGCGAGGAGGAGGCGGTGGTGGGCATTGTGCAGAGTTGGTGGGCCTATCTCATGGGCTTTTTTTTGGAGGAGGCGGAGAGGAGAGGCGATGGGGGTTATGAAAGGGATTGGGCGAATAGTGGTTGCGTGGATGCTTGATTGCTGGCTCTGAGGGTGGTGAATCTGAATTCCGGGAGCCTCAAAACATCACGAGTCGCCTCATACCCACAACGGGCAACCCCTGCCAACAGCATGCATGAATATGATAGGTAGCTCACTCATACTGATGATAGTAAAATAATTGTATAGACTTGATGATATTTGACGAAGTGAAGTTGAATTCTACGGGTATAGGTAGACAAACAATTGTATCATTTTACCTGCTACCTGTGATCTACAGCTTCCTCTAAAATCATTTCCCTTAAACAGGCTCCTTAAGACTATCCGTCGCTAGCATTGTTGTTAAGTTAGTAAGGGCCCAAAACTGGCAAAGCCCAATAAACAATACCTTCAAGATGGAAGAGCACGTTCGACTGATAATTCTTCCACATCTGAGCAACGAGCTCAGTATTCATGTTTTTGGTGTTGATTTCCTAGACTACAAGTTAACCCACAGTTCTCAATCTCCGCGCTACAAGCCTGACCCTACATGAAGAGCTGTGTTCAAGACCATAACGGCCTCGTTTAGTTTCTCCTACATAGAAATCCGAACGTCAATGGCCCATGTCAAACCTCCATTGCAGGGGGACAGCTCACGACATTGGTGATGATACGGGACAACAAAAGGCCTATATAAGAACGGTCTAGTTAGCCAGTACTATATGGAGCTTCTGGATGAGCCGCACACCTTGCTGATGCTCGTGAGGACTCTCCATATTGTATTGTGGTGGTATCTCTGGTTCTGGTGGTGTTGATAGAGGTGGTTTGTTTGGTATCTAGACCCTGTTAAGATTGATTAGATCGCTTGGCGCTAAACCCCCACGCTTAAATTCCAGAAACAAGCTTGGGTGCCTTTGAGTCCTTTTATGCGCACTCTGATTTAACCATTTGTTGATATTCGATTCACTGTCCAAAGAAACCCTAGATACGTGGTATTTTCTATAAGAAATATTTGAATATTAGAAGCATCAGGAAAGAAGTTCATGATGTGATGAGCTGTTGGATGAATTGGTTGTTAGTCAGGGACGTTACTTCGCGCCACCACCACCACCACCACCAACCTGTCGGTCAATGGGCTTACAATTCAGACAATTACCCAGTCAATTTACTCTATTTCTGCATAGAAATTAGGAATACCCTGAGTATATGAATAGTTTAATGATATAGTATAGGATATATTCACAGAACGGTCACTTAGCAAGTAACTTTAGGTATCATGTTTGCAGTAGAGCTAGAGTAAAATGCAGTTTAAGAATGTTCATTAAGAACCTTCAATTGTATCCGTCCAAAGCCAGAAATCCTCTAGAAGGCGATACATATTATACACGGGCTTCCACTCCTCCCGCCCTATCTTACAAGCAAAGTAAATCAACGCTAACCCATAACGCCCCCATCCACTCTCTCACCCGAACCCTTACTTCAGCACGACATTCGCACCTCTCAGCTCCAAATAGCGATCCGCGGCGCCGGGCGGCAGCTGCCTGATCGCCGAGTAGACCTCCTTATTCGTGTACCTCAGCTTCGTCTTCGGATCCGTGTAATTGGCCGGGAGCCCCGTAATGTCGCACCACTTCTTTGTGTGGGCCGGATGGAGCGACGGCGCACTCTCAATGTTGGAGTAAGTAGCCCCGATAGGCTGGGGCATCGCAGCGGGCGGCAAAGGCGTGGAGGTCCCGGAGTTATTCTGCGTAGCCGTTTGAGAGCGTGTCGCGTCGGTGAGGATCTGCTTGAGGGTCTTGGTACGGCGGGCAGCGGGCTTCCAGGAGGGAGACTTGAAGGGACGGGGGTGCGAGGTGATTACGTCGAGAGCGTCGAGGACGGTGTTTGTTTGTGAAGCTTGCTGGGGTGCCATCTTCTTGATTGTGATGGATTGTGTGGAGTTTATGAGACGCGTTGTTTGTGGGTTTTGTGAAAAATTGGGTTTTAATGAATTGGGTATGTAGAGGTTTCGAAGCTTCATCCTTGATCAGCAACCAGAATTCCTGCCAAGCCAGAAAAAGAACATTGACCCTCGTGCACGTGAATCTAGATTTGCACCAAGCCTAATACAACTCATCTAGCTCCTCATCTAGGAAACCTCAAGCAGCTTTCTTTGTTTGCGAATCATCTTTATCTTCTTTTAGAAAAGCTTCATACTATCTACTCTAATTGAACATCTCATACTCTTTACGAGAAGTATAATCTGCCGGCATGGGTCCTCCAAATCGAAACACATATCTTGAATACAAGCGAAACACCGCTAGGCTTATCTGCTGGGTCGTCACGACAGCAACTAATGTTTCAAAGAATCTCGGACTAGATTCATCCTCAGTAGTTGTAGATCCTACTCTTCCACCTACTCCTCCAGTTTCTCCAGTAGCTACAAAAAGAGTCAATGGAAATAATGGAAAGGGCAAACACAGAAGAAAATCTCAGCCTCAGTCTCCTTCCCCCACGGTCACCGATGACCTCACTTCTAGTGCGAGTCCAGAAATCACTGCGAACAAGCTTGTATCTCTATCGAAATTTATTTCTTCCTCGTCTATGAAAGCTGTGCCATCGACAGTTTACAGCCTTTTTGAATCTGTCATTCGGTCTAGAACCGACGCATATAATTTCTGGCTTGATATAGACTTTGCAAATCCGTCTAAAGAAACCCAGAACTCTAACAAGGGCCATAAAGCATTTATCGATGCGCTCCAGGCGGCATTCGAAACCCTCGGCGGGCTAGAATGGAAGCTCAAATGCAACGCCGAGCGGGAGCAGAAGCTCAAGGAAACCGCAACTAACAAGATAGGCCCCGTACCGAAATCAAAGGAGCTCGAGCTGGATAACATGTTCGGCGGCCTCGAGATCGACGACATAACTTCTGGCGGCGAAAACGAGGATCCCGGGGGGAACCAGAATGAGTGGCTTAAGAACATTGTCCCGAAGCAGAACAATGGTCAGAAGAAAGGCGCATCAAAGGCTCGGAAGTCTTCTGCACAGAAGGCTGCGGATTCGCAGGCTCGGAGGTTGGAGAATTACAAGATTAAGAGTGATTCTGAGGCTTTGTTCGCTGCGTTTTGTTTTATGAAGGACCTTTTTGATCTTCGGAGGTGTGTGATCTCTGTGACTGTGATGAAATGATCTTGGATGCGAATCAAATCGTAATCTAACATCATGGTTGATATTGGCCTGTAGACTGATACAAACAGCTACATTGCCGGTGTATGGCAGGAAGTTGCCAATGATACATTGAACACTGCCGTTGCAGGTGCTCTCAGCAACCTGGCAGCAGGGATGGTCAAACAGCTGCAGTTTGATATCGCTGCAGACTTCCCACAGTGTAAAAATTTCCAGTCCATCATTGATTTACTCATTCCTGGGAATGCAGAGTATAAGTCTCTGACCGGCAAGACTGCGGCCGGCTGTTCAGAGGAAACACGGGCAAATGGTGATAAAACGAACAAGGCTGGTGGTGGGACTGCAAAGCATATGCCGGCCTTCAACGGCCTTGATATCACTGAAGGTTGCCTGATAAATGCGTATCGAGATCTTGTCACGTTCATCATCGACTATCGTAAAGGTCGCAATTGCAAACCAACACCACCTATTGCTGCTCTCAAGTGGGACCCCAACTTAGATCTTCATCAATGCACTGATGATGAACGAAGAAAATGGAGATCCGATTTCGCTATCATGTGGCTCTACGACATGGTGAACCAGTTTGCATCTTCGCGGTTGACAGCAGATAAACAAGTGCAACCACTTGAAACAGTGGATTGGAAATCTGCAAAGTTTGGCCGGCGAGTTTTGTTTGGTCCCAGCGAATTCTCAGGAGAGGTGACGCAGTTAGCAATGTCACTTAAACATAGCCCTCTCATCGAGGAGATCCAGCCACATATGGTCTTCCAAGTTCAGGTAATGATGGACTCCATGACGACTTTCAAACAGTGGCACTTCCACCTCCCCTCTTCGATCGCATCACAGCGTACCATTTTTGGCCCTGATGTTCCATTCGAGCTAGGTCGGCACATGGAGGATATGGAGGCTTTTAAAGAGGACTTCATCCCCGGATCTGAGTTGCTCATGAAAGAATTCAAGAAAACCGACCCAGAACGTTGGGAATTCCCGATTAGGAATGTGCCTCCATTGGTTTCTGAGATTGGGATTGTCCTTGGCGATTCTCTTCTCTCTCGATTGACCCACCGTGCATTTCAATCCCGGTTCCTTGACACAAATAGGAATGGGTTATGGGTGTATTGTCCATGGATTTGTGGGGTAGGTCTTGCGCAGGCACTCAATGTTGTTTTTGATTGGGGTAGAATCCTATGGGATAATTCAGGTATCTCATTAGCAATGTTCCACTTCTATAACATCCTCCTAGCAAATAAACACCTCAAAGAACCTATGCCTTTATTCGAGGGTCTTCTTGAGATCTTCAGTAATCAGGTCTTTCGCGGCGGTCGTCGCCCTCGTAACAACTTCTTTAAGTACTGGAACGCCGCCTCTGGCGTGAAAGCCCAATACTTCGCTCCTCCATCGACAAAGCGTCTCCGTAAGGGCGGGGGCGTGGTCAATGATGGTGTTGAAACCAGCATGTGGCGCCGCCATGTCCGTACTTTTGACGAATTATCTAAGCTCGCTTTACTCGGGGATGCAGACTGGATACCCGATAAAGTAGACCGTACAAAATTCCCAGCCCTCATTGCCCAGCAACAGTTGGTGTCAGGATATAAGGGAAAACGGCACCTTCGCGAAACAAACACTTCGTTTCTCTCTGCAATTAAGAAAGACCTCGAGTCTGATCTCACTGGTCCTGTTCCCTTTAGTGGCCTCAACTTTCTCCTCATATTGTGGTTTTTCAACGGGTTATTCCGAAAGGTATACGAAGGAACCTTGGAACATCCCATCTCACAAGCACATCCACTAGATGCACACGGTAAATGGCAGGATACGGTATTGTACCTTGCATTATTTCCAGTATTAGCGGAGGACCAACTTGGAAGTCGCCTAGATAATGATCTTCTAAAATGTATGGCCGAGATTTTCGAGGATGAGATGGACGGATTTGAGCTGAGCGATTTTGTCTACTTCGATGAGAGAAGATCTAGGGTGAAAGAGAGATCAGAAGAAGACGATGAGCCAGGGTGGAGGGATTTTGAGAAGTTTATCGTTAGGGGCGGATTCTTCAAGGATGAAGATGATCAGAGTGACGGTGAATATTAAGCTATATGATAGCTATACGTTCAAGAAGACTAGAAAAGTCTATTGCGTAGCCTTTATATGTCACTAGACTTTAGAGAGCGAGGACAGTGTTTTGGAGGTTTCGGCGCATGTATGTCCACATATATTTATTGCAAGAACGAAGACGAAAACAAAGACAATATATAGGACAATTCCGCAAAATCCTATAATTATAACTTTTTTATTATGTCTTTCTGTTGTCCAAGATCCTACTTTGATGGGACGTGTCATGAGTAGATGCTTACTCATGAGATGTCACTCGGCCTTGGCAGATTTCATATGACTATGGCAATATTCCTAATGACAAAGCGATCAGGTATTTATCCTGAAAGAGTACTTTAGCAATATTAAATAGGGTGGTTGCACAAAGACTATTATATGTTTGATAAATCTAATTAAAGTATAACGGGACAAGGGTTGCTCGCTCACAAGTCACGACAATTCCCCTAGCTCCAGGCCCCAGTCTACTAATTTTGTCCTAGATTCCAGTACATAAATGTACATTGTTTGCAATTGTGTCTCGTGTCACGTATATTAAGCTTCTATATTAGTGCCTTTTGCACTTATTACGAGAGTAATTAAGCTTTTGTGCGGTTCCTAGATTTAACAACAGGTGTAACACAACGTGGACTTCAAATCTTATTCCCCCAACAAATATAACAAGACTTTAAAGGTGTGGGATTAGAAAGTCATATCTCATCGGAATAACCTCTCCCTGAATGCACCGTTGAATCTTATTGTGAATTATTTGGCTCAAAATTAACTTTATAAACATAATTTATAATTTCGCCAGATTCCTCCATGTTATCTTTGACCCCGGGATAGCTATGGGGACAGTGATCGATAGTCTTTTGCTATCTGATCCTATTGTCTTCTAAGCCTATCTTCAATGCTATCAAATATTGTATCAACGTTATCTATTTCCTTGAGGGCAGGATTTAGATCTCAACCGAATCCTTATTAATTATAATTAGCCATTCGCACGCATTCTATTTTCGTAGGGGTTCTGGTTCATGCTATGCTGTGTAGCAACCTCTGTGAGTATGCAGGTATTAATCTTATATCTGAGGATCTCTTGTGTTTTTCCCCAAAACGTATTGCTTTAACAGAGTCATACGTTTGTCCGTTGTTCATAATCTAGTAGCATGGTGCACGCGTGTTAGGCTCTAAATTCGGTTTCGAGTTATCCGTGTCCTAATAATCAACTAATACTGATACCGAACTTGTCCTAGGGTGTGGATGCCAAGGTGCGTGGTAACTAATAACAGCTGTTCTTGGCCGGGCATACATACTCGCGACCAGCAACAAGAACCCGAAAATGCACGTCCTAATCTGCAATTTCCATTGGAGTAGAAGTCAAAAATACACCAAAGACTTGCAGCTGCATATTCGGGTTCTTGTTGCTGGTCGCGAGTACATACACTGCATAAGCTTCCCGCCTAGGCCGCTACACAGCATGATTCACACCACACCGGGGTAGTTTCTACCCCCGTTTCAAGCTTTCTAGAAGAGTACTACAGAGAATTCAGCTGGCATTGTGCACTGCATGTCTTACCACTATGCACTCATCTCTTGTGCGAGGTTGCTGTCAATGACGCCATGAACATAAAATCACGGAACTTCAGTACCAGTGTTAAGACTTATTCGAAACGATTCCTTTCAAATTTTTTAGAGCTTGAGATCATCAGCCGGTATCACAAAGCTCAACGAGAAATAATATAGCCAAACAAAACCGCCCTAAACAAGGAGTAGTTGCGGAAGCAAAACAAGAATTAACCCCAGCCATGAAACCCAAACCCAATAGGAAAAATACATAACCCCTGATACCAGCTGTCACTGGTTATCGCCATGAAAACATCGACCGAGCTTTCTTTTCCCATCCGTTACTATTTCCCAAACAATCCATTTTTATTTTTATTTTTCCGCCGAACCCCCTTAATTCTATCCTGGACGCTTTCGGAAACATTACTCCAAACGCAAGGAATCATGGGGCGTTGTTGCCCTCGGATTACTCCGGTATCGACTCGATGACAGCCTTGGTTTTATCTGTCCTCCCCAGGCCCCAGTGCGATTTATCAGCTCCTGTAATAGGTCACCCCAAGCATCAAAGTGCGCGGCGGGTAAAAGTCAACTAACGCGACCATGAAAGGAGTAAATGAGGTGTATATAGTGGGGAGGAAGAAACCTCTCTTCGAGAAGTCCCCCGCTCGACAGGAGCGGAGATTCGTTGTGAAACCAAAATTAGGATGACAGAAGGGAGAATAGGAAACAAAAGAAAGAAAAAAAGTGACGGAGGAGGATACTAACGCAAACGAAAGGGGACCCTCTTCAGGTGGAGCATCAGCGGGGCATACATACAGAACGCCACATAATTCCTGAACGGCTTGAACTTGTCTTGGGGGTCCGGATAATACCACGCGGCGTCCTTAATGTATACACCTATTCATAGCAGACACAATTAAGAAACGAACGGTGGCAATAGAAGCCTAGATGAGAGGAGGAGGAGGCAAGATGCGTACCATCAACTTCTACATTGTAATATGAGGCAGTTCCCTTCCATTTACAGGTGGTTTGGGTGTCTGAAGGAGTGAGAAAGCTCCGGGTGATAGCACTGTGGTATTGGTCAGTAAATCCTCGACCGCAATGCTCATAGAATTGCAGTGAATGTAGCTTCACTTACGATGGCGGGAACTGTAAATTTCAAACCATTGTTAGCTATAAGAAGATATTTTGGAAATAAGAGAAGTGACAGCCCTAGGAAGCTGTAGGAGGTCTCTTACGTAGATATTTCCCTCGACAGTCTCGTATTCGTCCGACTCGGCGATGACCTTTCCGTTGATTTTGGCAGTTGCTTTTGGGGGCATTGTGGCTGTTTGGATGATGAGAGTCAGGGAATGTTAACTAGCGACTATGCAGCTTATCTGAGCTGGGATGCCTGGTCTGATGGGACCTGAAGCTTGTGGAGGTTGAAGTTTAAAGGATAGAGTACGAGGAAGGGAGCTCTAGGACCAAAGAGGAGAAACGATGGAGAACTGCAACCAAGGGATACGATTACTAGAGAAAAGGAAAGAGGCGGCCCAGGGGTGGGGGGAATTGAAGTTATTTATTCTATGTCTAAGAAGCTTTCTATGCTGACTCCATCTGCACGGCGATAACTTCAACCACGTTTATAATGATGATGATTTCCATGTTGGGTCTACCCCTCCCTAGCATTAATGATACCCACAGCCCCTCTCTGTATGAACCAGGGGTGGTGTGTTCAAGTTATGTACAAAAGCATGTAGGTATGTATCTCATAACTAAGAGTGGATACATGCGGTCAGAAAGCAGGGAATGGCGGGGGTGGGGGGGGGGGGGGGATGGATTGATGGCCCATGGGTGGGTGTGGTGGTGTCCATAGCGGGGCTGGATTGGCAGGTCTTGAACACAACAGCCGGCGGGAGAAGGGAGAAGGGCAGAAGCGGAAGAGTGTCTTGTAGCGGGTGTGTTCATAAGTGCTGTTACCTGTCCGTTCACGATAGTGATATCTAAGTGCAATGTGTAACTTGTCTATGGATGCGCTAGGAGTATGTGGCAGCCAAGCCGAGGAAGGGAGGATGAGGAAGAGCCTGAAGAGGAGGATCTGAAGGAGGAGGACGTGGATGAGGAGGCCTTAAGGAGGAACAGGAGGAGGCTCTTCGGCTCTATAGTGGCTTTACAGCTGTCTCAGGATAAGTGAAACAAACGGCGCCAGAAAAAACAAACTTCGGGTTCTGACGTACGTAGGAAGTTAGGAACGGAACGGTCGGGAAAAAAGAAAGGGAAAAAAAAAAAAAAAAAAACACCAGGAAAAAGGATACATCAACAATCGTGAGATTCAAATCCTTAAAAACAAACCCTGTCGAAGGCAGCTAGCTAGCATGTAGAGTAAAGTATGTCGTGGCAAATCCATGTCACCCTTGCAACTTGCTTGAACAGGATAAACTTGGCGCGTACCTTGGCATCTGAATTTTGACTTAACATGCAATACAAAATAATGAATTGAAATGTTAACACTATGTTTACTCGATATAGAACGCATAGAGAATAACGCCCGACCCGGGGTTGGGTACGGCGGGCGAGTGGGCGCTAGACGATACATCCCGAGTGATAGATGATGATTGGTCGAAAGTTTTCTAATTACGTCGTTCCTGGCTACCGACCCTACCAGCAGAATTATGACACTAAAGAAAATTAGATTGCGGAAGCCCAGTCTCTCCAAAAGAAAAAAATTAAAACGTGGCGTGGGAGTGGATCGAGTGCTTTGCCATGATTGGTGTACTTCATGCGCCTTGCATCCTGTGTCATGCGCCATTACACTTTCGACGGACAACACGGCACGGCGTAACATTAGGCCGCCTCTTCATGCGCCTGGGCATCTGTATCATGCGCTCGAAAGGGGATCGATCGTCCGTCAGCACGGCACGGGAAGCGGTTCTTCATGCGCCTTGCGTCCTGTGTCATGCGCTATTACGCTTTCGACGGACAACACGGCACGGCGTAACATCAGGCCGTCTCTCATGCGCCTGGGCATCTGTATCATGCGCTCGAAAGAGGTCGATCGTCCGTCAGCACGGCACGGGGGAGCGGTTCTTCATGCGCCTTGCGTCCTGTGTCATGCGCTATTACGCTTTCGACGGACAACACGGCACGGCGTAACATCAAGCCGTCTCTTCATGCGCCTGGGCATCTGTATCATGCGCTCGAAAGGGGTCGATCGTCCGTCAGCACGGCACGGGAAGCGGTTCTTCATGCGCCTTGCGTCTTGTGTCATGCGCCATTACACTTTCGACGGACAACACGGCACGGCGTAACATCAGGCCGTCTCTTCATGCGCCTGGAAACCTGTATCATGCGCTCGAAAGGGGATGGATCGTCCGTCAGCACGGCACGGGAAGCGGTTCTTCATGCGCCTTGCGCCTTGTGTCATGCGTCATGAGCCTGGCTGTTGGTGATATTACACACTCCACATTGAGAGACCCAGTGAGCACGATTATGCTGAGGCTTCAATGTGTTGTGATTTGACTATCGAGATGTCATATAAGCCTTTACAAAGAACCCGTTATCCAGCTTTCTGGCTACGACATTCGCCTTCAAAGTATATTCATATTAGTACCCTTTACACATCTCCATTTATATTGCACTGATGTCTTTCTCCAACAGCATGTTTAGCCAACCCGCACCCAACACATATATCGGTATTGAAGAAATGATTGAGCTTCTCAAGGAACATTTGGGACCCCAACTCAGGAAGTATAAGGAAACCTCGGACCAAGCATTGAAGCAAAATTTCGACTTGTATGTATGTCTTATCACATTTCAGCGAAGGCGGCATTAACCGGTGATAGGGCGGAGTTTTTCACCGACTACAAGGAGAGATGTCTAGCCGAAAGCAAGGGCAGCTGTTGTGGGGACACACTCTTGGACCAAACCTATAAAGACGACATTCTGGTTGCTCGTATGAACACTGAAAGAATTATCTCTTGTCTTCAGGAATACGCTGTCTCCCTCAACCAACAAAGTCCTGACTTGTATGTTTCTCTCTCTTTCTTGTGGCACTTATAACACGGCTCGCATCGCTAATAGACAAAATGTTTAGCCATCATAACCACATATCCGTTGCCGACCAAATGGATGTCCCACATAACTCGGAAAACACGTCAGTTTTAGCAAACACCGAAACCACCTTCAACCTTCTTCAGTCTGTCTCCGCCGATGTCAATGGTTTGCTTTCAACATTCAAAGCAACAAATGACGCCATCATTGGGAACTCAGTCCTCATCGGCGACATTCTCAAACGTACTACTGATTTGAAGTCTGAACTCGCGGAACACGACGCAACCCTTCAAAAAACGTTAGTTTACCTTCTTTAATATTTTTATAAAGATATCGTTAACTAACGTCCCTGCCAGCCACGATGAAGCAAAGCTGAGTCGGATGATTGCGGCAGAATGTCGTGATCATGTTAGAGAACCTGTTGCTTTTGAATCGTTGGAGTATCGTGTTGCGCCGCCAGCAGAAACACACACAGGCATTCTGCGAATTACTGCCCTTTTGACGACCTCTCTTGATCGATTCTCTGGTCGCATTGATGCCCTGTAAGTCACGTCCTCCATGAGATGTTCGATTTAATCCTAGATATATAGCTAATACTATATATGTTCTTGTAACAGCACTGCGGCGCTTGAAGCCCAACAAGCAAAGCCCCAAGCCACGCAAAGTCCCACCGTTTCTCTCGGTGGTCTGTCTCCGTGCCCTGGAGGCGAGTTCCATGATAACATGCACTCGTTGGCTACCACCTGTATCGCGATGTCTGATCGTCTATTCTCATTGTAAGCCTCTTCAAGTTCACCGTTTTGCACATTTATTCATCTTAGGTGAACATAGGGAAACCCAAATGCTCTTGATCAAGGATATGGTTGCTCACAAGGCTCCGCCAAATGCCAATGGGGCACCCACGTCTGTCAACCCGGTGAATGCCGTGAATATCTCGTTGGTTCCTCAAAACATCTGTCTATTTGTTCTTTCCTAATTATTACAGTTCGCACCGCGACGAAATGGGCTCCAATGTCCCCCATTCTACGCCTACCTGTAGCAGACCCCACACTCCTTCCGCTACGGCCCATGAGCCCACCCACCTCCGTCATGCGGTGGCAACCCCTGCAGATCTCGACGCCGTTTTGCAGAATTTTTCTCAATGGTATGTAAATTACTTTGCCTTATATTTATAGTACTGATATTCTGGTTTGTTCGTCCTCAGTGATATCCAACTTGAGGAAGAAGGCGCCATGTGAAATCCACGGTTGTGCGTTCGTCACATTTCCCGCCGGGCATATTGGAATCATAGTTTCTTATGTTAACATTTGCCGCGCATGGCCGTCATTCATCAAATCTGTATTTTTTTATCTTCACGTTCATTAACTGTCGTTGCTTTCCATATTGTTTAGTGTCCCATTGCTATGTCACTTATCTTTACCAGTCTCTTCCTGTATTCTTCATCAGTTTTCTGTTTGTCCTACTGTCTCTATCTCTCTTGCCTTGTGTTTTTGACCATCACTCGTTTAATAGCAACAATTTCGATTTATATTTGCAATCAGGCTATGAAATAAATATTCGTTATGCCAGCCTACATTGATATCTTACTCTTGTGACTTCCAAACCGCCATGTTCTTCGCTTCATGCCCACAACACGTGCCCTGATCTCGTCGCAGGTGTTTTGTCCTCCGTTATGAACCAGGCCGAATCGATCGCCGTCGTCCCTAGTTCCCCCCGGTCGAAACACTATCTGTTATTGTCTCTATGATTTTTATTAGTGTGGGTACTATCGACACAGCGATATCGCACGAAATGATGTTCGCCTACCTGCGGCATATCCTTAGGCGATAATTATCGCCCAAGTTGGAGCTCTCAGGCGATCGTACACATAAGTGGCCATGTAACTGATCTAGGTTCAATGAATTAGATTAGATTAGCGTGGGGGGGGGGGGGAAGACTGACGTTGGGGTGGTTGTCACGCACAGGGCCCCAAATAATGCAACGCTTGCCGTTCGAGTTCGAGTTTGGAAGGCGGGGGAAGACATACGCTTCCCTCATCCCGGTATCTGAACCACCCGCTAAGTGACTGGGATGAGATCTCGTATAGTTGGTGAAGAGGTGTAGGGACCAACTGTCGGGCCATGTAGCTGCGACGGTTACAACATCAACACCACCACCTTGATCGCCCGAAGATATCAGGAACCTCTCGAGATGTTCGGAGGGGTGAACCGAGACAGGGTTCATGTGATGTGTTGCCTTGACAAAGTTAAAGGGAATGTCTCGGTGATGAACCCAATGCCGGCACGCGGCGTTCAGGTAAGCGTCTAAATGGAGCAAACTAAACTGGCAACGACCGACCTCCCGTATTTTCCTAGTCTCTTGCAACAGGGGGCTAATATATTGGAGGATAGAGACTTGACTGTATGCGAAAGGTATACATAGAATGTTGATAGACAAAAACATTGACTCCAAGCTACAACTATCGAGTGACAGACCTTGGCGGAGGCGTTGCACCGCTGATTGATCCCATCGAGGCTTTAAAAATCCTCTCTCATCTCTTTGCTCTATAATAAGTAACCTTGGCCTGCATATATCTGAGTGAGTTGATGATTTGTTTGCTGCAAGCATCCAGGACTCAATAAACCGGCACACCCCGGTGAGCCCGCCGAAGTCGGCCGAGAAAACGCATAGGATACTGGAGAATGGTCCCAATACGCGCGCAAATAGGCTTGTTCTAAGTCTTCCAATCTCTTCGTGAGATATCATAGTCATGATGGTGGTTTCATGACACTTAGAGGCAGTCGCATTAACCGCGCCCGGATAATATTTCCCAGGTACAATACAATCGGCTATTAGTAACGGATGTGGGTCTCCGGCTGTGCGGGGGTCAGCATGTAGCTTGCACATGGATGACAACTCAGTCCTTCGGGGTTTGAATGATTTCCCGACGATACCTCGCAGGAGGCGTTCTTTAGCAACGCCTCCAACAAAGATGATCATGTCTGGTAACTGAATGTTGTTAGGGTGTGGTAATTGTTTCGTATTTATGAGGTCTGTGATGCGATGTGAATGGATGAGGGTGTGTGTGTTATGCGGGCCTGCCGAAAGATCAAACCACGAGTGATGGTCACACGCCATGATGAGTTTGGTTATCTGTGTTGAGGAGAGAGAACACCACCGTTTTAATTATAGGCGCGGTATCCACTAGCGTGTGTGGGCCCGGTTCCGATTAGCAAGGATCCTGACTCGCTTAACCCAGGAACCAGGAACCAGGAACCAGGAACCCAGGAAACCAGGAAACCAGGAACCAGGAACCCGGGACCAGGTGATGAAAGCGTGCTTGGCCGGTTAGCTTGGTTGCCGAGACAATTGAAGATTGCCGAAATAATGACTAAACGCTCTGCCCCCTACGGTTAAATAGCCCCCAGGGGATTATCATCTACCTACACATTCAGACACCACAACGACAATGGCACATAGGTTTTCGGCGCACGAGGCTGCCCAACAAGGCGGGAAATCCTTCTACGCGGGTGTCGTACGGCTTCGGTTTGAATCGTTTGCAGCTTCTCCAAAATATTTGGCACGGGAATTAAGCATTAAAAATATCGAGAGATTAAAGACGATCTTTCGAACAGATGGTGTACTTTCTAGGGAAAACCCTCTCAATCGTATCCCCATCTTACTCACTGCAACGGCTTTGACATCTGCACTCGAGAAAGCGGGCATTGGGAAGGATGACATTAACGGCGATCCTCCGTATCATCAACTCCCCATGCCCAAGGGGTCGGTCCCAGTATCTTCATGGTCATCATCGCCTGATGGCCGCCAAAGACATCATCCCACAAATGGATCGTTGTGGGGAGTTGACATCTATATTGAAGGTAGTGAAAAATTGAACGCGCAGACCACCCTTAGCCCATAGTCTAACCGCGCGCAGAGTTTGCTTCGGACGAAGATTTATACTATCTACAGCACCAATATGCCAATTCGGCCAATATCACTGATGGGGAGATATTTCGAAATATACGTTTGAGTTCCAGGAGAAAACGATCTATTTAAACAACAATTCTGGTGGTCAAGGCTTAGTCGCTCGAAATCCCGGGACTTAAAACAGCTTTTGCGCAGTGCGAGATTCCGTGTCGGCTTCGACAAACTGCTGGACATACCTGGGTTGTGGCCTGCGGTGCAGCTTGGTGCTTTGCACAAACTCCTCCCGCTGAAATGTGACGAGGTGGGTTCTCGGGATTTTTATTCTATCCGGCCATATGTCTTGCGTTATCTAATTCGTCTCTTATGCCAGGAAGTAGCCCGTTATCTCGATTGGGTGTCTGTAGCTTGGGTGAATTGGCCGGTGCCAATCACCTACTGGTCGATCGCGAGTTGGCGGACACGATGGAATTACGTGCCCCTGCCATCTCCGATGTCGACCGGGACGTTCTCACTCGTTTGTGCGATGTACCTCACAATGGTGGCAAGGACGCGATATACGAGAATATCCGAAGGGGCCAACGACAAGAATTCCCACACTGCACTCGCTCTTTCAGGATCTGAAATACCTCGAGGCAGTGGCCGGCCCGATGAAACTCTTAGCCGGTCCCACCAAAACTAACTGTACGACAATCTTTCGAGCGTATGTTCGTTGGCGATCAGCATGCATTCGAGGAATCTTACTGGGAGTTATGGTTATTTAGCATGATAAACTTTCATAAGTTGTCCACCGCTATCACGCTCCGAAAGA